GGATTTTGCAATATATAGGTATTTATATAATCTGTATGATTTTAACTATTTTTGCCTAAAAAATTTTAAAACAATATAAAAAATATAAAACATGTTAATTCAAGCATATTAAAAGAATATTAAATCAAAATAAAATACAGTATGTATTTCATCAGTAGATGAATACCATACTGTGCACAATGGAAATACAGTACGCCACTATCACTTGCACAAGTTTGCCAACCTGAGATTGCACACGGAACACTATTGGCTAATGGAATGGAAGGCAACCAACCACAGCACTGTGTTCTGTATCCTGGGCACTGACTGGCTCAGTGACTGTAGCATCAGTCTGTTTGCTCTCCCACACTGTGCCCATATGTTTAGCATCTCTCCTCATTCAAGTTGTAGTATACTTCACTGGTGAGTACCCATATACAATTTTACATGTTGTTAAAATTATGTAGTTTTAAAGGTGTGGAAAGTGTTTAAGAGCATATGAACTGTTTATGAGAGTGTGGGAAAGGTTAATAAGAGAGTAGAAAATATTTATAAAGCTTTAAAATATATATAAATAATAAAATAAATATAATGCCGTTACTTTTCGGATTTTCACCTATGGCAGGGATCTCTGGAAAGTAACTCCCACGGAAGGTGAGGGATCATTGCATTGCTTTCCACCGTTTGACTTTTGGTCTGTGAATTTCTTTTTGAGTTAAATATGTTTCTTGTATGCAGTATATTGTTGGATCTTGTTTCTTGATCCATTCTGCCAGTCTGTTTCTTTTGATTGGTGAATTGAGACCATTTACATTGATGGTTATAACTGATATGCATCTTATCTATCTAACTTAGCTGCCTATAATAATGTTATCACTAGCTGTCAGCAAACCTCATCTTTCCTGCCTTTATAAGAAGTGTGGAATTGGAACAAATGGGGAGGGTGTTCATTTCACTGACCTTATGGAGAGTTTAGTGTGTGCTGGGATGCCACTTTTTCCTCTAGGGGTAAAGAAGAGTTGTTTCCTTTTATAGAATCCAAATAAATGGGGCCGTAAGAAAAGCAATCACAAAAATAAAGCATGTCTTCAAGCACAAGAGACTGAAATCTCATTCCCCTGGTGGACTCCTTCTTTTGTAGTAGAATTCTTGATTTTTTTCCTTTTGGTACGGGAGATTAAACCCAGGATTTTGCACTGAGCTACATCTTCACCCCCTTTTTAAATTTTTCATTTTAAGACAGTCTCACTAAGTCACTAAGTTGCCCAATTTAGGCTCAAATTTGTGATCTTCCCGCCTCAGCTTCCCAGAGGACTAGGACTATAGAAGTACACTACCCTGCCTGGGATTAGTCTTGCTTTTCTTTCTTCTATGACTATTTGAGCCAGCAAGAGAGAATTATAAAAACCAGCAAAGCAGGGGGAGAGTGGGAACACAGTCTGCCTGCTTGTGTGGCAAAGGTGTGTGAGTCTCTTGTGGGAGTCACTTGGTAAGCTTGGTAGAGAGCTGGAGTTGTCCTGTTTCACAGTGCCCCATCCAAGGAGTGGAGAGGCTTCTTCTGCAGCAAGAGACTCATATACTGCGGGTACTGGAGTAAAGAGAATGGACAGGAGTCAAGTCTTGTGGGTCGAGGAACAGCTGTGCGGTGAGAATGAGCCGGACTTTCCCACTCTCATGCCTCTCCCAGAGGTATATTTCTACAACTGACACCCAGACAGCATTTTTTTTGCTAGCCATTGCTAATGACAAAATGAGTGGTGATCAATAGTGAGACAGTTATGACAGGGCTAATTGCAGGAATTCACTTGTTCCCTCCCTCCCCCTTCTTTTTGTCTCCCAAATGGAGAAATTGAGGCTTTAGGACATGGCAGAGGGGATGTTTTGAGCCAGATTAGGCCTCTTCAAAACTGTAAGACCTCGGGGCTGGGGATTTAGCTCAGCGGCAAAAGCGCCTGCCTGGCAAGCGCAAGGTCGTGTATTCGGTTCCTGGTACCGGAGAAAAACCAAAAAAAAAAAAAATCTGTAAGACCTCAGTTCAAATCTGCATTTAGAGAATGAGAGGAGTAAAATGTAAACTGAGTTTGGAGTACATGATTTAAAATAGAATGCACATTTATTAAACAAAGTAATCAGAACTTTCAGGATTTTGTGGAAGAAACAGGTAATAGGGATTACATGGCCCAACTGAATGCAGTGACTGGGAAAGGAAACAAACCTGTTTTATGCTTTTGTACCACAAAGTTTAATAACTTCTCAGTTAATGGGTTACATTGAAATCTTTACATATAAGAGGTATTAGAAGAAAACATAATTGAATATGGGTGGTGAAATCATTTTAATATCATCTTTTCTTTAAGAAATATGCTCTGTTATTTCTTATGACTCTAAAATTGGAAATTAAAAGGTTTCTAATTAGTACACAGTTTAAAATATGGTGTGCTTTACATATAAAAAGTGAAATTAAAAATATTTAATGTTATTAATTATATTCATTCATTATTCTCATTGCTGTATATAAAATAGTAGTTGCTCAGATTACAAGATGTAGGCATGCAAAAGTAATCAACTAATGTAAGCCCAAACCGGTCTAGAAAATACACTGTAAAGTGTATTCACTTCTGAGGAAAACCATAAACACATTAGACTGACAGAAAGGCCAAAAGTTTAAAGCTTTATCTAGTATTTTGAACTACAGAAAGTAATAGGGCATTGTGGTTTTTTGGCCAGTGGAGACAAATTGTAAGAGGGTAAAGGGAAAAAATTGACAATGAATAAATGTTGCATTGTTAAGCAAGTAAGTCTCTCAGGTGATAAAAGCAGTCATGTGGTAGCTGTCTTCTCAGAACAGATAGCTTTACTATGAAAATTTCCTCTATAAATATAAATTTTCCTTATAAAACAGTATCTCTTCAATCCTATTACTGTGATTCAAGTGTCTTAAAATAAACCAACCTGAAATGATCCATATGCCAAAGAGAGATATATTTGGCATGACATCTTGTGATCTCTTACAGTCATATTTTGGGGTGATGTGTCCTGAGATCCAGTAGTTACAAACCATTGCGTTTTCTAAGTAGGTGAAATGGAAAAAACGAACACTAAAAGGAAGCGAATTGTTGGAGAGAGCTCTATTACTTGCTTCAATTCCCAAATAATAGAACAGCAAATTTCTTGGTATCACCCAAATGATTCAATTGATAACTATACTGTTCAGAAAATTTAGTGCTTTTGTCGGTCTGCATGAGCTCCTCAAAGATATAACTCTTCCATACACTCCAACTTTATAACTTCTCTTCCCTAGGATCTATTATGGAGAAAGAGAGAGATCTTTCTAATTATTTAATTTCAAAAACAAGTCAGTACATACATGATTTTTAATTTAATACCAAAGAAATGATATGAGTGATAAATTATGACCAGACAAATTTCTGAGTGAAGTTGGCTATGTGTTCTGTAGATCTAGCTTTGAGCAGGACTTAATCCTCCTTTCCCACCTCTACTCTTCCCTCAAAGTATCTTTGTCCCAGTTAAACTTTCCTGTGATATTTTTGTTACCAATCTCTGACCACAAACTGGGTCCTTCTTCCCTTTTGGAATTGTGGAACCAATAATAAGATCAGACATCAATGGAGCAGTGAAGAAGATCTTATTCTTCACCAAGAATAGGAAAAATGAGAGCTAAAACTACTAACGCAACTCCTGAAATTATTGGAGATTAGGAAGTTATAGATGTAGAGTAAAAGAAATAAAGGGGAGGGATGAGCTTATGAAAGGAAGGAATATTCATGTTTTTTCTGGGAATAGGTGGAGATTTTTCAGGAATTTTGATGCCACCCCTTTTTGCTCCTTTTGTGGTTCTTTCTGTTTATTGTGATGGCAGTTGTCAACTGTTATGACACTGGGGGGGTTACTTAGCATGCAGATAGGATATGAAGTTAGAGGTCACTCGCAGCAACCTTAGGTACCACCAGTTTTGGTCTCCTGAACAGGGAATCCTGTTATATAGGCATCCTGTCCTCAGAGATAAACAAGATTAGGGTAAGCCTGAAATTTAGCTAGTTTGGGTAGGCAGACTAACATTTTCAGTATCTAAACTAGGGAGATTTATGTCATTTTACCAGAAACTTTGAAA